AAAAAAAAAAAAAAAAAAAAAAAAAAAAAAATAATCAGCCTGAATTTATCCTCATGCCAAAGAGACACACTTTGGGGTGCCAGATTTTTGGGGTGCCACATTCTGCTCCCCTACAGCACCGACTGTGTGCACAGCACTGTTCCAGGCACAGGGAATGCAGCCGTGGAGGAGAAAAACCAACAGAATCCCAGGCCTCGGGGAGTGTATATTCAAGAGATACTAGGAAGAGACAGTAAAAATAAATAAGCAAAATATATAATAGAGTAGATGATGGCAAGGGCTAAAGAGAAAAGTAAAGCAGGGAAGGAATTGGGGGAGCATTCGGGGCTGCAATTTTAAACAGCTGGTCAGGGAAGAGATTGTATTACCAAAAGCAGCAGCAGCGTCAATGACATTATCAGTAAAAACACCCACCCGTGCTCTCGTCCCCCCAGTTTAGAGATACAGTGGGGTGCACTGACTGCACGTGCTCATCCCAGGGAGTAGGGTGGTGTGACAGCCGTGCGGGGTGCGAGAGGCCATGCTGCTCAGACCTGCTGGACACTCTCCTTTCTGGTCCAGTTCGTCTCTCATGTGCACTTTGGAGGTCTTAGCCGTTGCTATTTCCAAGTTTTGTTTTAACAACAGAAGGATTTAGAGAAGGAACTCACTTCTTGATTTTCATCTCAAAGGGAGTGAAGGCTATGCAGGGGTGAAGCACAGGTAAATGTGCTATTCTGGGAAATGAGTCAGATCGTCTGTGAAGCTTCAGGGAGTCGTCAGGCTCCTAGGGTGCCACGTGGTACCTTAGGGTTAGAATTCAGAGATTACCAACTCCAGCACCTTCAGTTTATTCATAAGAGCACCGAGACCCACAAGAAAGCAAGACTCCCGCCCAAGGACACAGCGCACTTGCCAAGAGCAGGGACCCTATGCCATGTTGCGTAGACCCGAACGTGCTCAAGTGGCTTATTAGACAGACCACCCAACACTGAGCTAGGTTTGTCTATGTGCCTGATGTCCTGCAAGGGCATTCATACTTTGTACAGCACAAAAACGAAATCTGCCCCAACAAGTGACGGAGACACAAGACCACGGTCACAGATGAACTAACCCAGATTGAGTCTGCCTGAACCACAGGGACTCCAGCTTCAGCACAACCCGCACCGCCCTTCTACCGGTCTCTGCTGATGCTGGTTAGACCAGAACCACTTTGCCTAAACCATGGATAACTTAGGCTGATGAAGAGTCTATAGTTTTTGGGCACATGCGGGCAGTATTGGTGCTGTGCTATCTCGGGTCTGTACCACCAAGAATATATGTCAGAAAGTTGGGTACATTTATGATAAAGTGTCTTGCTTGTATGGCTCTTGCTCGGAAAGGATTAACTAAGGTTCTTCATTCCCCAGTCTCCAATTTGGTCATTATCAAGTGCTATAAATATATTCACCATTTATCGTCATTTTTCTTCTGTCTGCACGCACCTGGAGGAAAGAACAAGGGGAAGCATCAAGCAGGTTTGTGATTTCTGTTCTGCTTCGTGTTTGTTGATAAATCTGCTGCCTAACAGATGTTTTAAATGCGTATCGTGTGAGCAAAATCAACAAATACAAGATGGTTAAAAGGGACCTTTCACAAGATTGCCTGCAAAGGTTGCTGTTTTGTTGATTTTTCCCCCCCCTTGGTAGCATAAGTGTCTTTTGCTAACTCACTCACTGCTTTTTACAATCTGCAGAGCATGGGATGTTTGGGGTAAAAATAATAATTATGGTCTTTGGTTGTTCCCTGCTACTGTTTTCCCAGACAGAAGTCTTACCCAAGTATTCAAATCCCATGAAGCAGGATAAGATATACTCCCCTTCACCAGGGTCCTTCTTTTAAAGTGAGAAACTGTATGGTTTGGGGAGGGGGTAGGAGTGAGGGACAAAATGAACACTGTGTCCAGGAGGTAAGAACACTCCTTGTGCAACATCTCCAGCTCATTCAGAGCTGAGGTCTACTCAGGTGAGCTGATCCAAACGAATAGTCCCCCTTCCTTTAGGAAGAAGATAATCCTCCTGGACACTTCGCCAGATCAGCTACACTGTATGGTCATTCTTTTGTGCCTTAGAAGGAAATGAATGCTGTATTTATCATATATTTCTGCTACTGAATAGCAGAGAACTAGACCCAGAGGGAAAAGGAGCTGAAAGAGAACATTTAGTCTGTGTTCCTGAGTGCCAGGGAAGCTCTGGGTTTGGGAGCAGAGCCCTGGAGGACAGAGCAGGCGGGTCCCGGCACAGGAGGGGTGACGGGGGACAGAGGCAGAACCAGCAGGGAGTCCCAGGCACCTGGAATTCCTCTCCACAAGGGACACAAGGCTTTTCCTGTCATTGCCGCCCGTTCTAGTAATGAGGAAATACAGGCAACCCCTGGCCTGCCCTGGGCAGGGGTTGTTCCTTTAGCTCGGTACTGATATACTAATGACACATTTCTTCATGTCCTGAAATCAGTTTTGAGAGTTCTCTTGAGTCTCTGGGTCATCCACTTCTGCATTATCTCAGTTAACACTTAAAACGCTTATGAACCGAAACATAAACGCATTCGTTTATGATGGGAGGCGGGCATGGTCGGACGCACCCACTCCTCCAGGGTAGGGAAGCCTACACAGGGGGTGGTGCTAGAGCCTCTTCTCTTATGTGGCAGATAGAGAGCAGAAGGCATGGGCTATTCCTGGGTGGTATTTCCAGAAAGTTTTAATAGCTTGAGGAGTTGCTCTTCCCCATTTTAGAGAGATTTGTGCCCAAAGAGAGGTTCTGGGCCTTCGACCCTGGAAGAGGCAGGCTGAATAGCCCTCACTCTCTGGTCCTCATTTGTGTAGACTCCACGCTAACCCCACCCTCCTTCTGTGTGGAAACTCTCAAAAAAAGTTAAACGAAATAAATTATAGCCATTATAAGCTGTTTGAGTCTCTTTGGGGACATTTGAAGTCTTCCTTGTCTTGGGAGCTATCCATTTACAGACTATCTCAAAGAGGAACCTATCAATTTACAGTTAATGTTAAAAAAAAAAAAAAAAAAAAAAAAAACTATCTCCAAGTCTTAAGGGCAGAGACCCTCTTTGGCAGGGACTCTGCAGCTACCTGAGAATCAGGTCCCCTGTCTCGGTTTCATCCTCCAAAGGGGACATTTGCAAATGGTGTGGAGGTGTTTGCTTCAGCACAGCCTCCATGGCGGCGCTGAGTGAGGGGCCACCTTGGGCTGGTGGTGATGCTGTACTTCTTCCAAGGTCACCAGAGCAGCACAGGCAGAACCCAGGTGGTCTAGCTGCCGCCCCTCGGGCCAAACACGAACCAAAAAGACTGCAACCAAATGTTTTAAATGTCATGATGTTAAAATCTATTCTGCATGCTTGGGACTGAGGCTGTCAAGGATCACTCCCCTGTCGGCAGGTATACGTGGAATATACATGGAACCACTGAGCTGCACTGTTGACCCAGAGAATCACACAGAGATTTCTGGCTTCTCTGTGGTCATTGGACATTTGGCAGAAATCACCATGAACACACCTTGTGTTCGTGCGTGGCACACGTGCCTTACTTCACGCTTCACCCACACACACTCGGGTCTGCTGCCTTCCGGTTACACATCACGTCACCGTGTGTGAAGCTATGACAGGGCATGTGCTCAATAAATACCCATTGGATGGAGTAATAAAATGCCCCTGACCTCCAGTACTTTATGCGAAGAGAGATAAAACACCAACAAAAGAGGTAAAGTGGAGGAATAGAAAAAGAGAGAAAATGAAAATTTAAAAACATGTCAATAATCTGAAGGAAATAAGCTGCAGCCCCGCTTGAATTTTACCTTTTCTTCCCCCTGCTGTGGCCCTGAAATGAACAAGACTGCCTAATGGATGCAGTATATTGTAACAACAATAGCAATATCCCAGGAAATAACAAAGTTGCCCTCACTCCAGCGAATCTGCCCAAAGGAAGTACCTCCTAATGAGAATTCCCCCTTGGAAGAAGCAGCTCTGGGTCCAGAATATTGCCGGTGGGCGCTGGACCCAAGTTCAGACGGACTGACCAGCACAGTCCAAGTGCAGAGCCTTTACTGCTTGGGCCAAGGCCGTATTGATGTGATTCAGATAGACCAGCGTAGATGCGCTGCAGCCAACTCTGTTGTCCTCCAGAGCCTGGAATCTCCTAAATACTTCTTCGGGAGGCGGCGGCGGGGTGGGGGGTTTTCTCTGTTCTGAGAGCTTGGAAGGACCCAGACGTAGAAGAGTCTAATACAGCAGCCGGCGCCCCTCCAGTGCCCGGCACTGGCGCCCTCCGACGGAGGGGCCAGGACTGTAGATCAGGCCTCTCTCTGCAGGATGGAGTGCGCACCACACACGCTCACGTACACCCCTGGGGAACTGGGTTCCCTGCTTTGGGACATTCTTGTTAGATTTTGTCTCTCTACACTGAGGTTAGGATATGTTTTCTAAAAATTCATGTACAGCATCTTGGGCTAAGGAAAGACACGCAGCCCAAAGATGGTTACATGTTGTTTGTGACAGATCCAAAATTTTTCTTTAAAAATACAACTCGTCAGGGAATTCCCTGGCGGTCCAGTGGTTAGGACTTCCACTGTAGAGGCACGGGTTCAATCCCTGGTCATGGAGCTAAGATCCCGAATGCCACGCAGTGCGGCCAAAAAAGAAAAAAATACAACTCATCAGTCTCCAAAAGAGCTTTTTAATCTAGCTCAGCTGAACAGGAGTGAACATCGGTACAGGGTCAGGTGTGAATCCCGGTTCATCTCAGCTGAGCCTGCTTTGTTCCTCAGCTGAAGCCATAAACACAGCTTCTTGGGCATCATTTCATCATTCACTTGTTTCCCTCTTCCTTCCCACTAAAACAGTTCTAATCTCATGTGTGGTGGTAAATGGTGTCTATTGATTTTATTTTAATTAATCATTCCATTAAGTAATTTTTCCAACTCATTTTTTAAGCTAGACGGTTCTCTGTTTGGGTATAAATTGTCACTTTCTGAGAAGAGAATCTACCTGTAAACCCATCCAGCTGGATTCAGCCGGTATCCTCACCTTTTTCTATTCCTCCTTGACAAGGTTGATTAGGTTGTTAGTCATCACTATGGTACAAGAAAGCTTTTACTTCTTCCTACCTGTTAAGTTTTTATTGCTACAGGTATAGATCATACATCAGAGATTTGGGGATTATCTGTAAATCTCATTGCGTCTGCTTTACTCTGTCTCCTTCATCAACACTTGGTGGCTAAGTGCCTGCTTTGTAGTTAAACTGCCTTAAGACACTTGATGAGGCACTAAGAGAACCCTGCTGGACTTCCTAGTAGACTCTCTGAAGTTGCTTTAACAGGTACTTGTGAGACTGTTACAAAGATGGGTATCTTAAAAGTTAAAGCATAAGTGATACTCTTTTATTACATTTCATCCTGTGCTGTGATCCACCAGGTGCTTTGCCGGAACTGCTCCTGCGTGCTTGCCTTTATTAGGTTCTGAGAAGTGTGAGTCTTGGGAGAGAATCTAGAACACTGATGGAAAACATTGTGTGCTCATATTTCTTCTGCATTTATTTTTCCACTGTTTACATTTTCTTTCTTCTGTGTACAGTGAATGATCTACATGTGTTGTTAAACTAAACTCAGTGAGACAAGACCGTTTTTCTTTTTTCAGTGTAGTCAACTTGTATCCTTATTGGCAAAAGGCTAGGTTGTTTCAAAAACATTTTTTTTAAATGGTCTCTCCTTCTGTTCACCTTTATTGGTAGAGGGAAAGGATTTAGTCTTTTAAAAACACATAGTAAGACTTAATACAAGAAAAATGCTTTTTTTCTTATATTCAACCTAGAATATTTTCTTCTTTTGGCACATGCGTTCTATCTTACAACTGGTTATGTATCTTAACTACAAGTGCAGGCTTCATACAAATCAAGAATTTTTTTAATTTCAAAGCAATTAATGTTATTTATTTCATTGATTCCTATAAGTATTTATCTTTAAAAGTTCTGGAATATTTTACTCCTCCATCATTTATACTATGTTGCATTGGTATTTACTGCAAAGGTTGCTATATCCTAAAATATTTATATTCTTATTTTCGTGTGAAACAGATGCTAAGACATAGACTACCATCGTTTGGAATGCCTATGTCAAATCTGATTATTTCTACTTAACCATTAAGAGCACTGGATCTGTTTCGAACAGCACAATTAAACTACACAGTTTGTCCTTAGTGTTTAACTAGTCCTTATACTAACATATGAAAAACAATGAAGCCAAATGGCTTTGTTTTTCAAGAAAGACCACAAACCCCTGAGCACTTTCCTGGTGGTGACCACCTAGTAACTGCTGCTGTGTCTCCTCACTCCTAGTAAGGTCTGTAGTCATAAGCAGAAGCTCTTCAGAATACACACCTCATGGAAGCAGAGGTACCAGCATCCCGGCTACTGACATGAGATCTGAGAATGCCAACTAACCTCAGGTGCATGACCAGGTTACTCTGCCACCCT